CTAAACAAGTAAGTAGTGTGTGTGTGTGTGTTATATATATATATATATATACATGCATGACATGAAAATTACTGTCACAATTTCAAAGTGAAATTCAAGTAGGGTTAGTCAAAATGTTTAAGTTCTTATAATTAGAACTAAATAAAGAGTAGAAACCTCAAAACAATCTTAATAACATCTCCAGATTTAGTATAATCCGACATGAGAAATGGAAAACATATTTTTTATCAGAATAGTCATGTACCTGATAATAAATCTTAGTAAATAAAGTTATGCTGATAGAGTAAGGTAAAAAATGCATGAAATGTTACAAATATAGAGCTTCCCAGGAAAATGTGATATTTTTATTTGTTGCATAATTAAAGGCAAAGTTTTTCATTGTGTGTAATAACCTAAGAGTAAATATCTAGAGTAAAACAGTTTATTAGGTAAAGTAACAAGGTTCAAATGTTAGCATTGTTTATCTTTAATTATAATGAGTTTTTCAGAAGTCTTTATGCATGTGATAGGACACTTGTATTGCATTCTACATTTTAGAGAATATTTCTAAAAAAAATAACATTTTTGAAGACCAATATTTTTTCAAAGGCAGGATTTTCTGGTTAAATTTTAGCCATTTGACAAGCTTAACATCTAATTTTGTATCTTTTGTTTGCAATCAAACTTACATAGTTAAAAAAGAAAATTTAATTCACAATTAACATTAGCTTTATATTCTGGTCAAAAATACTAAATAACAAAAATCTATGATTTAGTTTTGTGTACTACCAATAATGGTTAAACGTATTTTGTAAAATATCATGTTTTTATATTTTTAATACAAAATCAACATATTTAACAAGTTGGAGCTAAAAAGATAAATCACTGAAAATAACATCAGTCATACTCTTCACCTCAGAATTATCTTAGATATTAAGCAAATGGCTACATGTAACAATTACAACACTTCAAGTAAACTTACCAATCAACCGAGCATCTTTCTCTGTGACCTCCAGAGTAGGCTCACTCGAAGATGAGATCTCTGTTTGTAAAGCCCCTTCCACTTCACATTCCTCATCAGGTTTTTGTTGGTCACTAACATCAACCTTAACTCTTTCTTCTTCCCCAGCTTCATTTTCATCTTTTTCAGTCACATCTGATTTCTTTGCAATTTCTATTTTCTTTACCATCTTTCGAAGCTGTGAAGGAAAGGAATATACATCAAAAAACTTTCACAAGAAACATAATGAATACAGCAATTTCTCAAATGACCAAGCATAAATAACTTGTCATTCATCTATAAACATGCTTTTCATCATATCTGTAATGCTTCTGTTTTTGACTAAACAAAGATAACTTATGTACTGCAAAACTAGTTTGTTTTTCTTTTTAACAAATTCCAGTAAACTTGGTTGAAGTTTACAATCTTGAATTGAAAAATTCCATTTTGCAGGTTTAATGTTAAAACGTGTACATTCATCATTAAAGTACAAAAATATGTATAAAATAGTTTTATTAAGTTTTTACAATACTGGTGTATTTCTCAGTAACATCATTATGATAATTCTGTTTCTTCACATTGCACATAAACTACGATTCTTCACACTTTTTTTCAGAAAAATTAATTTAAACTTCTTTCAAATGGACAGATGGGTATGTGTTTTTATATACAGATATTTCAAATTAAAAATATTAAAAACTTCTTTCAACTTAGAGTAAATCATATAAATATTTACTTTAAATAAGTGTATTTCAATTTAATTTTAGTTTTTGATGTAACTTCAAATCTTTGATTCCTTGAACTCAATGCTCTAAATCTGATCCTATATAAAAGCAAAAACAAATAAAACATATTCGATAAAGAGTAGATACACATGTCTTCTTAGTGCAAAATTACTATAAATGAGCTTTATTATTTTATATCAAATTAAAAAAAACTTGTAGAAGCTAAACATAAGTGTAATGGAGGAAAAGTCAAAGGAATTCAAGGAATAAACAAACAGAAATGGGAACCACAGAAGGGAGCAGTGTGTGGTGTCATATACCAGTGGAGATCCCCGACCTTGCAAATCAGGCAGTCAGGATCGGAATGGTTAGAAAGGTGGAATATAAAAGGAATGGAAAAAGGGTGTGACTGTGGAATTACCCTCTCAAGCAGCTGAATTGTTTGGGTAGAAATTAATGTTGTGGAAAGAGAAGAATGTAGGAACTATGAAACAAAAATACGGTGGACAACAATCGTGAAAATAACTGAACAATGATGTCTGCACACCAATATGAGCAAGAAAAAGGGGACTTCAAGGTAATATAATGAACATGTAGACAAAGTTTTGAAAAGAGGGTGGGTAAAAGCATGCAGGACCACACTGAGGTTCCAATCAGCGAGTGAAGCAGCGGGAGGAGGATGGGAAATGTGGACAGAGTGAAATAATATGCAACCAGAAGACACGAGCATATTTGGAAACCAAAAACGTGACTGATAAAGCCACCCAATAGCTCACAACACAGGTAACCAAAAGGCTTCTGTCAAAAAGCCAAGTCAAAAATGGACTTGATTTGAGGATCATTAGGATGATAACCATGTTGGACAACCCAGCAGCAGTACATGTACCATTTATGTTGGCAAACTGCCATGGAGGAAGGACAGACAGGATGGGAAGGTAAGGTACCCACACAATGCAAAAGTCAGGCCCTTCTGGTGAGGAAATGGACAAAAGCTGTGTGTGTAGACGAAAAATGGGAATGGATGGATGATGCGAGCCTGATCTGGGGCTGAAGTAGGAGTGTTGGAGATAAAGGAAGAGGAAATGGGAGATGACACCAAAAGCCAGTGCAGCAGTGGGAATCATGTTTGAGTCAGCCAACATGGAGCCACCAACAGAACATGACACAGAGTGGTCTGAATTATGGCAAGGACATATGTGAGGAGACAAATAGGATGATATGCATATAAGTACCAACCCTTCCAATCCAGACTGGGAGAATCTACTGTTCTAGCCAAAGGATGAGAAACTGGAGACAAAAATCTAGGAAGCTGTGTATTGAAATGAGTGGCAAAAATATCAAAACCTTGGACACCCCACTGAGCACACAACCCCAAAAAACTGATCCATGGCAAGACACAGGGCACCTGGAAGAAGATAAGCCAACAAAGTGACATGATGGTTGTGGGCTCAAAATAGGAGATCCAACATTTGAAAACAGAGGTCTCTCGACCAAGTGCCCCCTAGCCTGGAGATGTATGAGACTACTGTAGAATTGTTGGAGGGTACCATCACCAATTGGCTCCAAAGAGTCTGCAAGAAGTAAACCTCAACGACCTGTAAGGAAATCCAATATCGATATGGAAAAAGGACTCATAAACAGTCCATCTCCTCCCAAAATCTCTAGATTGTTGAGATATGCTCCCCCCCCCCAACCGGAAAAAGAAACAGCTATACAAAAATTACATTCCAAACAAGAAGGAGGAAGAGGAACACCCACAATAGTGTTGCCTCAATCCAACCACCAGGTGGAGTCAGTCTGGAAGGAAGGGAAAATGGTGAGAAGGGAATCTCAGGGATCCCACACAAGGTTCCACTTGTCAAACAAAACCCACTAAAGATGATGTATATGGGTGCAACCAAGAGGAATGAAGGCTTCCAGAGAAGCTCATGTCCCAAAAAAGAGAGAACTTCTCATGCAGTTGGAAAATGAGAAGAGGAGACACTGCATACAAGATGTTCCATAGCCCTCAACCAAAGGGGAGAAGGTTGGACACTCTGAGATGAACCAAAATGTATTCATGGGTGTAAAAAAAAAAAGACTTCTCAACTTTCACAAGCCAATCTACCCTGGCATCTTCCAGGAGAAGAGACTGGGAAAGTTAGGCAGATTCTTCATGTAAGGAGGCTCAAGGTAGCTAATGAACTATATAATGGTGGAAACATAAACTCCTGGCAAGAATCAGGTGGGTAAACATTTGGACAACACAACAGAACCCATAAGACACTGAAGCAAGTCCTAACAGATGTGCCTGAAAGTGAAACACACACACTTGACGAGCAAAGTGAAGATATACATCCGACACATCGACCTTCGTCATCCAGAAACCAAGAGCGAAAATCCCAACACAGATTTAAAGACGATTCCATGATGAAGTTGGAAATCGCTAAGAAGCAGTTCAGAGATGATACATTGATGACTGGGTACCAATTCCCCATCTTGTGGAGAACAACAAACAGACACAAAGGACCTCATTTGATGGCACACTTATGGAACAGGTCCCAAACTGTCTCCAAAAGATGCTGGCATGAAACGGGATCCTGTGAATGGAATAAGAGGACCAGACTCACTGAGACGACTCTCAGAGCCCAAATAATTACAGCAAAGGATCTCCAAATGTGGGTAAAGTGAAGGAGTCTAGCCCCCAAAGGCCTTGACCCAAGAATATAATCATTGATGCTGGATGTCCAAGAAGTCAGAACCAGCAAGGGAAAAGAGAACCAAAAAATTGGGGTCCAAACCCTACAAAGGAATAACTCACTCCAAATGCTGTGCGGCTAAATAAGGGAAATCAGAATGATGATAAATGAAAGCAAAATCTGCCATAGTATGTGGGGGGCAAGGCATATTGACCCCTGAATGCATTTGCTCCTTCAAACAACTGACATGAACCCCAATAATGGGGAAGAAGGAAAAATAAATATTGACTGAAAGGCTCGTCCCCAAGAAAAGCAGGGGTGGAACCATAGGAAACATGAGAAAAGGACAGAATATAACATACCTGAGTAATCAATCCCACAAAAGGTGGAGGAGGCCGGGGCAATTACTTTAAAAGGACACACAACTGAGAGGGATATTCAGGAGTAGGAAAAAAGCAGTCAAATCAATCCTTAATTATGTAGGATAGGATAAACTTCAGCGTGTTCTGAATGTGGCATGAAATTGACCAATTCCTAATGTGCCAAAGCTGTCACTGCAGGAGCAACAACAGTTGCAGTTGTGACCATCTGAAACTGCAAGACTCTTGGAAGTGAAACAGGATAAAATAAAAATATAATTTATAAATCTATACCGGAATTAACAAAATGTTGAACAAAAAATGTAACTGGTTTAGATAAGAAGTTGAAAGGCCTGAAAACAAGAAAGGAAAATTTTTTGTGGAAGTCAATCAAACTGCAAGCAAAAAACATGTCTGTACATTAAAACTTCTGATCGAGAAGTGGTTAAGAACTGCAAGATTAGAGGGTACTAGTTATGATAGGGTAGTGCCGCACTACTATTGGTGGAGAGTTGCTGCATAATCCTTTACATGTTAGTATGCAGATATTAATGTGAAGGTAAGTGGAAGTATCAAGGTTAGTGTGGAGAAAACATTTTGCCAATAGAGGGCAATGTACATCAAGAAAAGCTTTTTGTGAAAAGAGGTAAGATATCATATCAGAAATTTTAACAATTTAAATAAATATATATTCCCTAAATTTTGAAGTTCCCAGATCATTATTTTTAGCAATAAACTAGTTGAATGTTATACTTTCTTTTATGTAACCTTATTCCAAGTATTAAAATTATGAATCTTAAGCAAACATCTTTCTCAGTTTATGCTAACAATTAAATCTTATGCATAGCAGACAAACCTTTAAAATTTCTTCCTCGTCTTTCTTTTTCTGCTGAGTGACTGCTAGAAGCTGTTGCTGCATCCCCTGCATAGCTTGCTGGATTACCTTCAGCTGTTTTTCTCTCATGTCTTGATCTTGCTTTCCTTCTGCTTTCAGCACTTCCACTTCATTCTTATAAGCTTCAAGCTGACAGCGCAAAGCATCATTTTCTTCTTTCAGATTATTTACCAGCTGGTTAGTTACATCTGAAAAAATATTTCAATTAATTTGTATATGTGTGTCTTGAAGCCACAACATTCAATAATTTGACTGCTATTTGCACTTTACAGTAAAGCTAGGTTTGTCAGCAAAGATCACCATGATTAATTAGACTGTTACTATAACCCATCTTCTTGTACTTCCAGATATAATGAAGACATCAGAAATTAATGATAGGTACTTTCATTTTTTTCATAGTATTCCTAAACATAAAAATAAATACTAATGGTTTCTTACTAGTAACTTTTAAAGTTTTGTAACTATTAGTCTAAGAAATTTTTATATAAAGAACATTAAAATGATGTAATTACTACATATATACAGGTGTAACAGACACATTTTAGACAATTCCCATGTGTCATGGCTACTGTTTCAAGATAGGGGATTAGAGTTTACTCCTAACACACCGTAAGAAATATGGAACCCTTCTCCTTGCTCAACCCGAATCTTTTTTACTGCTGGCTGATCCCCACCTTCTTCATCACTCACATCCATTTCATCCTCTTTTCTTTCATTTAGGACTTCTTCCAGCTGGGCATTCTTTATTTCCTGTAGCAAGATAAAACTTTATTATAACAAATGAAACCTTCTACAAAATGTATCAATCTGTAATTTATTTAAAGGAATCAAACAAAATACTGTTTTTTAGATCTTCTATGAAGTGTAGTAGTATATATTTCTTCTACACTCTCTAAAACTATTTTTCTTTATATAGTATTCTCCATACTGTAATGGTTTGTCATTATGTTATGATTCATGAGGCAAGACTAAACACTAAAACTTTATTTTTTTTTGTGATATAATAACTGAACATGTATTTATTATTTCATTAAATTTTTTAAGATAAGGTTAAACCATAAAATCCAGGTATGTAATCCCTTGTATCAGCTTCCCTATATTCTTTGTCTCTTGATACAAATTTCAAATGAAAGTAACTTGTTAAAAACTAATTTCATAAAATTTTAAAACCAAAGTATAATTCACATAAATGCTTTTCATTCTCCTCTCCACATTCTTCTCTGTTTCAATGCTTGTTATTTGTAGTATTTTAGGTGTCTGTCTTATTTTCATAAGAAGGTTTATATGCTCTATCACATATCAATAATAGGAATTTTTAGATAAATTACCATTTTTTTATTGTTGCACTACCTTCACCTGAGTGATGTTTCTCTGTCAATTGTGTCTGGGTGTCCATTTCAATAAGTCACATTCAGGAGTATGACTAGGAAATTTTAAAGGAGATATAGAAGATGACTGTGTTTAATGGTAAAGAAAGGAAAGAAGCCAAGTACAATGCTTTAAAATTGATTAAAATAGCTTATTTTTTATTTCTTTGCACAGAATCAGTATCAAAATACTTCCATAAAAGTGTTCTAAATCTTAATATTACCACTCAGTTGTTATACTGTGTCAGTAACAGTAGGAAAATTAAATGCATATAACCAGTACAAAATTCTCCAGTCAGGTAATAACGTAAGCTAAACTAATGAAAATGGATTACATTTTATAAGAATAATTTGCATATGCTAACCAGTGGTGTGTCACTACAGACAACTAATTAGTATTAATATATTTCGTTCTTGGCACAGAAACTTATGTTTGAAGGAACATGTCACAGTCTTTCCTGAAAAGAAATATTAAGACAGTGAAAAAGCAAAGAAATACAAAGCCTAGAGCAAATCAACTTCAAAGACAACTATCAATATCATGGTGAATAGCATCAGTAGTGGAAGATAAACATCACACCACAAATAGGACTACCTCTACCATTACCAAAATTTCCAGACTGGTAATCCACAAACCTCACCACATAGAAAGTGGTTGTTAACAAGTTGTGCATATTCCAATCAAATGTGCACAAGTCAATTCATAAGGATCTTGGCCTTGTATAGAGGCATAAGCAATGAGTGTACAAAGTGCTCCCCAGACACTCCAGAGAGTGTATGGCAAACTGTATGAAGAATAATTTATACATTGCAACATCATACATGGCCTATGTGTGCTTGAATGGTTACAACAAGTTTGTTACCAACCACATGGCGATAAGGCCTTTCCAATGCAGTACAGAGAAAGTAAATAATCTTTTTCGGTTTTATAGTTATCATTAGTTTCTAAAATAATAGGAAATTTAGACTTCATAAAGCACAGTGTAAAGTAAAAGTGAATTCTAATTACTGTTGGGAGAAGGTATTAGCACCATTTACACAAGGTAAAATTCCGGACTTTTTTCCCAAGATGTCAGGAAGATATGGCTAGATCAGAATAGGGCAATGAGTCACATGTATAAGTTTCTCCACAGCAACATCTCTACAAACCATAGAGAAAGAAACTAGTGTTCATGCTATCCGCTTTATCCAACATACCTGTAAAGTCACCTGTCTGCATCACATCTACAAATTTTTGTGCATTTGGTTTGTTTAAACGTTCTATAAAATATATAACTGGTCTTGCTGTCTTTTGCAGAAGCTTGTTAGAATGATAACTGCAGTAGTGGGCAACAGTGCATAATCATGGCTATCAGACTGAGCATGACTGATGATGGAGGAAGTCATTCCAAGTACAACACAGGACCAGAAACATCATTCTTATAAAGTGTTGTTAACTCTCAGTAACACATGTCTTGTACTAAACAACCATTAATTAAATTACACAAAATTACTTCTGATATAAAATGTTATCATTAAACTTAAATACAAACTGGTTATGCTAGACTTTAAACATTAACTGTTCATATTAAATAACAGTAATACAATATTTTGAATAAGAAAGATTAAAATATTCTTTTAACTTATGGTAAATCATGTAAATATTTATTTTAAATAAGTGTATTTCAATTTAATTTTCACTTTTGATTTAACTTCAAAAGTACTTTAACTGTGGCTAATTTATTGAAAATATGTATGTGGTAACAAAATACTTGTTTCCAGCAATACCAAACAACAGTAAATTTGTCTATCTTTATCAGTTAGAAGGAATCTGTTCCAAGATACAAGTACTTTCCCACAAACTCTCAATAATGAATAAAAATATTCACACTAAATAATAGTAATGCAATATTTTAAGTTATATCTTATAAACACAATCATTATATTTCAAATATTATCTCTTACTAATAACGTTTATGAACTCTGCACTGTGTTTAATAACGTTGTAAGAGAAAACGAAAACTATACAATGACGATCAACCAGTTAAACTCTTTTCCTACTTAAGACAGTAAAAGTGAGATAAAATATAACAATGGAAACTACTAGACTGGAATACGAGATAAAAAAAACTTACTGAAAGGAATAAAACATCTCTATATACAGGAGTTTCACATGAAAAGTTGTGAACAATAAGAAAACTCATCAAAACTATATGAAGGGTTCAAGTAAAAATCACAAATAAACTCTTTATTAAATTAGCTTTCCTAAATAGAAGCAGTACAAACTGAAAATGGGAAAGCATACTGATTTATAAACATATTGTATATATATATATATATATATATTAAATTGACTCTATTCACAAGAAAAGATAAACTGTTTGTAACTCACATTTTTCATCCTCTCAGAAAGACAAGACTGTGTTATTTCTACATTCTATATACAGAGGCAGAAGGTAATACAAACAATTTGAGCTGGGGGCTGTAGGGGGGGACTCTATGCTTAAAACAACTAACAGATACTTCTAATAAAAAAAACTAATTGATATTTTTAAACATTATGTTATACTAGCAGATATGCCACCCTATAGGTAGTTGTTTGTGCTAGTGATTACTAATCTTAGTATTCATACCTAATTCTAAAAATTGTAAAGAAAAGTGAACATTTTCTAAAAAAGTATTTTTTTCTGGGAAGTATTACATGGGAAAAGTGTTCAGATTGTTCTTTTTAGCCATGTATAACTTATTGCATCAATATGATTCAATATACAGAGCTCAAATTTTTCATAAATTTACTGATATAAATTGAAATATTTTTTTATATATCAAAAGTTCTATCCTTTATTGAAAAAATAATAGCTTTTTAAGAACTCCAGTTTCTCAATGCTACATTTAAAAATTATATCAATAAAGATATAATCAAACCCTCATGAACATCATGTTCCTGTTGTGAAGAGAGTACTTTTATTTAAAATTGTGTTCTATTATGAAGAAATGGTTGTTGCACATACCAAAGGTATTTTTCTAATTGTCTGAATCTTTAATACCGAAAGCGTGAAATTTTTTATAGATTTTTGTTTATGATACCATTCAATAGATGGTGCAGGAGTTTTGGTTACATACATAGATAATGATACATGCTATGTCCATTATAGTAAGAAGGTGTATGTGCATCTACTTAAATGGGTTTGGAGTAGGACAAAATACCAAAAGATGTGATACCGAGAAAAAAAATGTAAGCAAAACTTATATACATTTTTTTTTTCTTTAACTTTTTCTTTTTTGATTTCTGGCCTAAAATTTTCTGATGTATCATTAATTGCATACCAATTTCTATATCTTACCAAAAAAAAAGCAAAATTATGTGGGTTAACAACTAACTTGTATCAAAATATTGCAAAAAAGGAATTTTCCAAACTTTTCATGACATGATTTTTCAATTTAGGGCACTAAAAAGTTTGTGCCCAAAAGTGGTAACCATTTCCAAATTGAGCCAGTATTACTTCCTAAGAGGTAGGAATATCTGATGTAGGTACATTTAACTTGGACTGGAGAGAGATATCCAAATTCAAAGATCGTAGTAGACCTAACAAAACAATGCTTTACTTTTAAGCATTTAATTCTGTCTTAATATTTTATACATCTTAAAAATGATTTAAAACTGCAAGTAACATATCATCACAATACAGATACGCATATAAACAAGAGACTTCTAGAATTAATATGAGCACACTTGCATATCGAAACAACAAAAATTAAGTACTTATAAATCAGCTATAAAAGATATTGTACACTACACCATAAACAAAAACATTCCTAATATGAAACTTTCTTCCTCCTGAAAATGGATTAGCATCCCACTGGATTTTATGGTATAACTAACACTTTATGTATTATAACATCAGAACTCTTACTAACATAGTTACATTCCTGCTCCAAACTCAAACTAAAGTTATATTTCTATAATATCTGATAAGTTCATACTGATGAGGAACTTGAATTTAAAAGCACATTAATTCTTAAGATTCATCAAGAAGAATCGACTTATGAGCAAGTTTAATTAAATTATACTTGATTATCTGTACTTATGAATAACTAATTTTTCATATAATAGCAAATATCACCACACAAAACAGTTCCATTTCATTTTCCAATAAGAACTAAAACACACATCACATCTTGTTTAGAAGCAGAAATCAAGTAATCAAGATACAAACTGGATAGTTAGGGTAGAGTTTGAATTTTTGGGTTTGCAAGACTACAGAGACAGATTTAGTTAGAATACAGGTACCAGATTTGAACTTTTACCTACTGGCAAAAATGAATCAGATTGTCAAGAGGTTAATATAGTGTGTGTGTGTGGGGGGGGGGGGGGTAAATACTGGTAAAATTTACCTAAAATGG